TAGAGAGGACTGAAAGCCCTATGAAGCGGTATATAAGTCTAACTGCTATTGCTAACCCACCTCTGACATAGTTATTTCTATTCTATAAATATACTGGAATGTGTTTTTTTCCCTGAGAATATATTATCACTTTCAAATAATTTACAGAAAAACTTTACTAGTAAATAAATGAATTTCCATCCCATCTGCTTTTTAATCATCTTTCCCTAATGTCCAGTGCCTCCTTCCCATTCAGCTTTAAGAATGAGCAGTGAACTCAAAATCTTAATAGTAGAATGGGTCAACCCACTTCAGGACAACTCGCGGCGGGACAATTTTACAATTCTATTTAATTATTTGAAAAAAATAAAAAAGATTTTAATTTTTGCCATTCACATTTCATTCTGTCCTTCCTTTTGCATCCTTTCTTTAATGATTCCATTCCACTTTTTGTTTGATATTAGTGTAACTCTTGTCCCAGTGAGTTGGCCATGACAAGTTGGCCATGGAGAATTGTCATAGACCCTCCCATAGGTGCCTTCTCCCTGGGAGAAGGTTAGTGCTGCAGAGTGCAGCTTTCCTTCTCTCTCTCTACCTAAAAAAAAATCTCATATGGAATATTGTGTGTAGAGGATTGAAGGATCCATTCAACGCTTATGTGATCATGCCCACCACCCACTTCCCTTTTCCAATTATTTGGAAGGATCTTGGATTCATTCTTTTACCTCAAGAATTTCATCTTTCAGCACTGACAGTTCAGTTGCATTTCGAGCAGTGAAATCATAAAGAATTTTGGCATATCTCCTTGACTGAGCCATACCCTGTGCCTCAAAATTCCTGCAAGAAAGATAATGTATGGTGAGAGCCAAGTTAGTCTATTATGGCAAAAAAAATGTTAATTAGCATATTTGTTAATTAACAAATCTCTGTTATTAGTTGCAAAGTTGTGTCTGACCCATAGCGACCCATGGACAATATTCCTCCAGGCCTTCCTGTCCTCTACCAACCCCGGGAGTACATTTAAGCTCATGCCTATTGCTTTGATTACTCCATCCAGCCACCTCATTCTCAAATCTCTAGTCAGAATTTAATTCAAATTTTAACAAAATTGGCTAGTTGAAGACGATGATAATACCTTCTGATATTTTTTGCAAGAAAGATATAATGGCATTATCACAGGTCTTCATTACTGGTCAGAATAACTCATGGCCTAATTTAAAACACTATATTGAAGTTAAAGTTAACCCTGAGTCAGGGTTGACTCAGCCTTCCATCCTTCCGAGGTGGGTAAAATGAGGACCCAGATTGTTGGGGGCAATATGCTGACTCTC